GTATTATGCTGAGATCTGGCCCATGTTACTGGCAGCAGATGGTCCCATAGGCCTCATTCAGAAACTTGGAAATTGAACCTTTGCATGGAGTTTAATCAAAAACTTAGGATCCACTCCATTGTTGGATTTGCTTATTTAAAGGAAGACTATGCGCAAATCCCTTTTCTGATTTCTCTGGAGGAAACCCAGAAATGAAGGTAGAGCTCCAGATGGTAAGAAATAAACAACAGGTGGTCTGGGGTTTGCTCACAATTCAAGTCACATGAAAAATGGATGTGGGTTTGTTTTCTGAGTTATTTTCATTACAGATTTCAATCTATACTGCTCAACATAAAGTAGGTTTTATATATATACATATACACATATATATATGCTATACTTTATTTCATGTGTGCGTGTTAGTGTGCATATGTGTACACATAGGTACCATGTAACACATGTGGGGATCAGAGGACAACTTGTGTGAATTGATTCTCTTCTTCCACTATGTAGATCTCAGGGATTGAACTTGGATCTTCAGGCTTCGCAGCAGGAACCTTTACTGGCTAAGATATCTTGTTGGCCCTAAAGTAGGTTTTGAATAGCCACCACAGTGGTTATACGTAAAGGCAAAATGATGACTAAATGGGTGACTTGGCAAGTGTAAGCAATGCGTTTGGGGCACAAGACCCAGGAGAGCCTCAGAGCCCTTTATGTCTACATACAGACGTGTATTAAGCCACAAGTTTGAAAACACTCTGATTTATACACCAATTATTTCTAAATTATCTATTTTCAGCACATATAAATAATACTAAAAGTATGTCTTAAGCACTCATAAAAATTCTTTATGATGGGGCTAAGCTGTTTAAAGAAACTCCTGGAGGTGATTAGGAAAGAACATAAGACAGGCAAAAAGGAGACAGGCATAAGAGGCATGGGAGACTGGGAAAGCAGTGCAGCATGGGAAGGGTGGGGTGAAGGGCATCATGGGAAGGCTGGAGTAAAGAGCGGGTGGGCTGAGACACAGATAAGAAGAGTAGAAGAGAAAGAAAGATGTGGGAGCAGCTCACAGTTACTCTGAAAGATTCGAGAAGAAAGGCAAAGTATCAAAAGCAGTTATGTCTCCTGTGAGAGACTGAAAACGAACCAAAGTACCTAGAATAACCACCCATGCAGCATTCTCTATCCATCCGCACTGCCACAGTCTACTGCGCTGCTTTCCATATGGCCTAATTTTTTTATGTATTATTAGTATATGTTTCTATCTTCCATTTTTCAATTAGAATACGGGACCATGATGCCAGGTCATGTTCTCTGTCATATTGCCCAGATCTATATCAGTGCCTGGCTATGGTAAACACATAACAAATTATTAATTGGAGGAATTAATAAGTGAATCTGAGAAAGGACTTGAAGAGAAGAAAAGATCAGTAGAGATACAATGACCAAAATAGAGATACCATGAACAAAGATGGTGGAAATGATGGTAAATAAAAATGTAATTATTGTGTAACTTAAGATTTAAGCAGTTATGTGCTATACTTTGAGTATGAGTTGTCCTGGCCCGAGCACATACTGGGGCGTAGTGCCCAATTAGTAGTGTTAAGAGTTGGAGCCTTTATGGGGTGATTAGGGTTAAGAGGGACTAATATCATTCTCATGACCCTAGATTCATTTCCTTGGGATGGATTAACAGTGTAAGCACAGGCTGTTATAAATAGAGCCAGGGACTGTGTGTGTAGTTTAAAGATAAAGTCCTGTCCAGCATGCACAAGGCTGAGCGTTCAATACACAAAACTGTACTATACCTCAAAGCCCCCATCTCTTTTCAGCATTGCTTGCATGCACTGTTGCTTTCTTCCTTAATTGGTAGCACTCTGAGGAGCTCCAGAAGATGCCATTGCTTCACTCTGACCTTCCCCACCTTTGGAACTGTGTGTGAGCTCCAAACTCTCGTCTTTGTAACTTACACAGTCTCAGGAACTCTATTACAACAACAGAAAACAGATTAAGACACTATACGAGACCCTAAACACATTCAAACTCCAACTGAAGCATCAAAGAAACATTGTAAAATATTTATGAGTACAACAATAAAAGATATAGCAGTTCTCAAAGAGAACAACTCGTCCCTCCATCCCAGCTTAAAGGACCCACAGACTCAGAAAGCCGCTAAGCCTTCCCACCCTTGGCTGCAGAAAAGAGCCTTCCAGAAAAGTTTCCTTGCCCTGGGGCATCTTTGGGTCCTCTGTGTAAAATCCCACCAGAGTGAGCTTCGAAAGTTACTTGGGCTCTGTTCAGAAAAAGGAGAAAATGCAAGGGAAGAAATAAAGTCAGTAACTAGTCAGAGAAGAAAGTTTGACAGAGCAGCCCTCCTACTGCTTCCTTTCTCCTCAGACAATGTCTTATTGTTCAGATTATGTTTATGTGAGAGGAGACAAAGCCCCAGCTGTATGCCTGCAGTTGGGTACCTCCTAGTACTTCTTTTACCAAAAGTCTTGGCGGAGCAGGACTGATGCTGAAGAGGTCAGATTAAGCAAAGGACATAGGATCGACTTGTCGTTTGCTTAGGAGAACCCACTCTAAGGCACCTTCTTTTGAACTGGTCCTTGGCTTATATGCCTGCTGCTACATGTCTTCAGAACTACAGCACATCATCGTTTTCATCTCTGAAAATGAAGGCAAATGTTGGCAAATCTCATACTGGTGATGACCTCCCAAGAGTGAGGAGCATTTATTTTTTATTTTTATCTATCTATCTATCGATCTATCATCTATCTATCTATCTATCTATCTATTTAATGTAATAGAAGACAGCACTTCACAATGTGGCTCTGGCTATCCTGGAATTCACTATGTAGATCAGGCCGGCTTTGAACTCACAACATCTGCCTACTTCTGCCTCCTGAGTGCTGGGATCAAAGGTGCCTGGCTAGCAGACACTTGTTTTATAAAGGTCAAACAAATGCTGAGAATTATATTTGCTTTTTGCTGGTCCATTTGATTTCAAAATTGCATTTGTTTATTTGAGGAGAGGGGACATGCATGCCATTACACATGAAGAAGTCAGAGGACAACTTGGGGGAGTTGGTCTGTCTTTCCACCAAGTAGGTTCCCAAACTCAGATCATTACTGAACCATCCAGATGACGCCTATGATAGTTTTCAAAGTATTATTAAGTAAAACTTTGGTGGATTATAGGAAATACATTTTAATGTTTTCCATTTGTTTTTTGTTATTTTTATTGCTGTTTGGTTCAACATTGGAATGTGAACTTGAGATCCTGTGCCATGCTAGGTAAGAGGTCTACCACTGAGCTATAGCCCTAGTCCTTGACAGTTTTAACATCCATGTATTTTTTAAGAAATCAAGTGGTCGACGAAAACCATGTTTTTTTTTTCCTAAAAAAAAAGTTGATCATTAGATTGAAAATTGGCCGTTATGGCCATAACTACCACTCAGATATATTTTTCAGTAATTGTTCTCAGAAAATATTGTGGGTTTTTGTTGTTGTTCCCTGCTCACATATTTCATCTTTATAACACTGAATACCAAGATAATTCCTGTTCATAGATTAACAGGATTATACCACAGCCTGAATTTGGTAAACTGTTGATGCCATCTAAACCTGCTGTAGATTCTTCTTTTTCCTTTTTTAATTGAATATTAACATATCTATAATGAACCACATAAGACATCAGTCTTGAGTATATAGCTTAGTGAACTTTGATATGTCTTCATTGACAAGTGACCAGTAAGATCAAAATGTATTTTCCAGCATCCTCAAAGATTTCTTTCTACCCTATCCAAGCCATCCCTCTCCAAAAGGTAATTGTTATGCTGACTTCTTTTATCACAGATTAGTTTTATACACCTTGAAACTCGTATAAATATAATCATAAACTGCAATAAATATAATGCATAAACTGTGATAGATGATAAGCTTATGTGCACATTTCCAGGAGCTCAGGCTGCAATGAATCTCTTATGAGGGTGAGATGGGAGCACAGAAAGAAGGGATTTTACCTAGCCTGACTATCTATCTATCATATCTATCTATCCATCTATCTATCTATCTATCTATCTATCTATCTATCAATCTATCTACCAAAATTGAGCCTCTCCATGTAGCTCAGGCTATTCTGAAACTTCCTAAGTAGTCTAGACTGGCCTTGAATTTACAACCCAACTTCCTCAGCCTGCCTAGGGCTAGAACTCCAGGCCCTCATCACCACAGCCCACACACCCAACTTTTGGAGGAAGAGGAACAGGTTCAGACTTGTGGTAAAACAGAGAGGGCTCAAAGGTAAATATTTACTCTCACTAAAGTAGTGATTTCCAAAGTGTGGTTTCAAACCACCTGGGCCACACTGACCTGGGACCCTAGTGACAGCTGCCAATCACCACTGCTTACTCCTGCCTTCTTCATTAATAATCCGCATTTATTTATTTACAAATTCATTTTTAAGGTTGGAGTACAAATGGGTTTCATTATGACATTTTATATGCTTATGTTGATGATCTGAACTTAAATATGCCATTTGGATTTCTGTTTTTGTCTTGGTGGTTTGCAGGTTTTGTTTTGCTTTCACACGTGAATTATAATATAGGGAACCAATATTATAGCCCAAATGAAATGATGGAGCAGGTTATAAAGAGCCTTTCCTTCAGTTCAAGTCTAAGTGTTTGGATTGAATCCAAGTGGGTAAGGTAAAGCCATTAAAGAAATTGTTAAAGGGAAGAAAATTTAAAACTCAAGGTAAGTGGCCTTCCTAAGTGCAGTCTTTCCACGCCTCCACTGTGACAGTGGTGAGGGGCTCTACGGAGTGATGCCTTAACTAAAGACCAAAGCAGAAAGGAGTATTTTTGTCTTTTGCCCTGGTTAAGGGTTGGGAAACCTGCTCTGTAAAGGGATTTCTAAATAAAACTATAGGAGGGCTTTGGTTCAGTCTGAGCTCCTGCAGTAGACCCAACAGAGCAAACAAAATGGACTTGCTTAAGCTGACTTTCTGTTCCAGGAGCCACATCTCAGGTATCTGACTTGAAGAGAACCAATGAACCAGGAGGCGAGGGAAGAGCTCAAGAACCGGCAGTTCAGCCCTCAGACAAGGAGGTTCCTTCTAGCTGATACAGGGGGAAAGGAAGACTGAGACCACCAGCCCACTCTTGATCATTCTGCTTTCTTTTGCAGTCTGTTTCCACCTGGCAAGCGAAGTTTAATGAGCCGGTGGGTTCATTAAACACTTGTTCTGTTTTACAGAATGAAGCATTGCCGGATTCTAGAACCACAGTTAAAAACCAAGATGTGTGAAGCTGTAATTTTGTCTTCTGACAAGCCGGATAGTAAATATTCTAGGCCTCACAAACCACATAGTCTCTGTTACACCTACACAAATGTGTCTTCACAGCAGGAGACAGAAAGTAACCCTAAAATATGTAAATGGACGAGGATGGCTGAATTCCAATAAGCACTGCTTGTGAAATTAGGTGGGCAGGATTTCGCTGACGCAAAGGAGTTATTTGCCCAGCCTGGACGCAAATAATTTCACTTACCCTAGTAAGAAGCTTAAAGTTCAACATTTAACTCCAAAAGGCTTATCTCATGATAGCAACTCCTATCATAAACTATGTCTAGTGGCTTCAGTTTAAGCAAATATAAATCTGGAACAAATTATAAGGGGAAAGCCACAAAATCTAGACTGCGATGTATTGTACAAGATGAGAAGTAATAAGAAGTGGATACGGGAGTCTGAGGACGCAGAGGGAATGTTTTAGTGTAGATTAAAATAATATTAAGAGATTTATTACTAAACACACGAAGCTTGCCTAGACCCGGAGCAATGAGGAAAAAACAAAGCCAGCTTGAATAATATACAGAGGACAACTGGGAACATTTGAACACAACCATTATACTAGATGATATGTCAGTGTTTTGTTTCTCAGATGTGATGGTGACATTGTAGTTTTATGAAGAATGATTCTATTCTTAGAAGGCTATGATAATGTTTAGGGATAAAATCGTGTGCAGACTGCTTCAGTGCAAACCAGAACGGGAGGAGGAGGACACGGTCCTCATAGGCGATAAATTTAGGTGATGACGCACATATGGTGAAGGTACATTTAGTTCTTGGTTTGATTTTGATTTTCTGAGACAGGGCCTCCCCGCTGGACTATAACTTGGTATGTAGTGCAGGCTGGTATCAAACTCTCAGCAATTCTCCTGCCTTATCCTCCCAAGTACTGGAATTACAGGTTTGCACATACTATTATCTCCATTTTTCTGTGGCTTCGAATTAAAAGAGCAAATAGATGTTGTAGTGAAGTGATCGGTCTATAGTACTCTCGTTTCTCCTTTTGAAAAGTGATGTCAGCACTTACACCTTCCATATCTGCTCACTCCCCTCCTTATGTCTCCCTCCCTCCTCTCTCTCACCACCCTTTTGAGTGTCCTTCCTGCAGGATGGTGAGGTGCATATAGTCACAGAGGCAGAGCTGCCAAGTGACAGAGTCTGCCCATTTTCAAGGTGACACAGTCTGCCCATTTTCAAGGTGACAGAGTCTGCCCATTTTCAAGGTGACAGAGTCTGCCCATTTACAAGGTGACAGAGTCTGCCCATTTACAAGGTGACAGAGTCTGCCCATTTTCAAGTCCCCTGCCTTAAGCATGTGTCCTCCTTTATCTTTCCTTTTTTTCTGGAACAGCCCAGGTTTCCCTCCAGCCCCTTCTGGAGTGTTTTCTAGTTCCTTCCCTTTCTCCTTGGCAGTTACAGAACAGGGCAATGAAAACTGTGGGGAGGGGGGGGCGGACTGTGGAGTAATTGGCAGTCACAGATTAGATACACCACTTAACTTTTGTAAGCCCCTGTTTCCTTATTCATAAATGGAACAAACTATTTTTCTTGCTATGGTCAAGTGTCACAATACAATTTTTCTTTACTGGGCAAGAGGTTTCTAGATATCTCAACACTGATCTGGGATAATTGCTGAGCTCAGCCTGAAACAAGTGTTTATGTTCTATAAGAATGATTAAGAACACAGGAGAGGGGGAGGAAGGTGGTGAAAGGGGGGGAGAGGAACGGAGGAGAAAGGAGAGAGGAGAGAAGAAGACAGGAGAGAAAAGGGGATGTGAAACAGGAGGTCTTGTGTGTTCCTGAGGGCAAAGTGCAAGCCCTTTGAAGTCTTTTATGATTCCAGTCTGCCCAGATTGTATCTGTGTCTTTTCAAGCTTTTCCGGAAGAACAGTCACTAGGCTCTTGCTAAAATGTGGACTTGGCTTCCTTGAGTCTGGAGAGGCTTTGAGTACCCCGGGATCCTGGGGCTGCGGATGGGTCTTCCTGCAAGCACATCAGACAGCAGGCCCACAGGGCATTAGGGAACTAGTTGTCGCTCCATATTCTTTGTAATTTCTTTCCTCATTGTCATTTTCTGAGGCAGCAGCGCACTTAACATGCCCATTTTCAGTTTAAATCCCATTAAAGGAGATGTTCCTTTCACTACATGCTAATGAAGTAAAACTGCTTTTCAGAAAGAACAAACAGTAGGGTGAGCTGTCTGCCGAAACCCCACTAAAGAATAAACACACAGGGGGAGGGAGGGAGGGAGGGAGGGAGGGAGGGAGGGAGGGAGGGAGGGAGGGAGGGAGGGAGGGAGGGAGGGAGGGAGGGAGGGAGAGAGCGGAAGAAAGAGAGAACAATTGCAACCACGAGGCCTCTGCAAACTTGCAGGAGCGAACATCGCTGTGTGAAGTAGGCAGTGAGAGGAATGCTGGGTACTGTCTTGATTCTTCTGTTCCTACCATGTTGGGAGCCCCACCGTCCCTGGCAATCAAGCCAACAAAGTCAGGGTTTGGTGGCGTCCTTGGCCCGAGCACACAGAAGGACGACGGCGGCACTTTCCTTCCCTTTGCTCTCTGGCCTACAAGTCAGCACTTGCAGCGTTCTACTCCCGGGGAGGGTGAGCTTGATGCTGGTTTTTCTGAAGCACTGCAGACCATTCACTTGCCCAGCAGGTTCTGCCCAAGTCAGGACATTCCTCTCTGAGCTCCAGTTTCTAGCAGTGCGCAGAGTTTTTTCACTTATCTTTGGGGTTGTTGTGTAAAAGAACTGAATAAATTTATCATCCATTGGCTAGGAACTGTGGAAAATAAAACTTGGTGAAATAGAACCCTCTGCTTATAAGGGGTTTTAATATTACTAAAGGACACAGATAAGCATTTTAAAAGGCATGACTCAAATAAAGGAAACAAATGAGGATCTGGAAAGACTGGAATGATGAAGTCCATTCAAGGTGAACCTGCAGGTGCCCAGTGCGTGCCAACGGGCCTGTGTTCTGTATATGGGAATGAATATTGCCCCCCCAGGAGGGGGAGGAATAAGACCAAAAGAAAAAGAAAGTTCTTCAAATTCTTTAAACGACTGTTTTTCTCCACCCTTAGCTGATTATCATTCTTTCCTGCAGCACACAGCAGTGACTCTACATCCCTTGACAACAGCAGCTAGGCTCTTAGAATACAAACTGCCTCTCACACTGTCCTTAAGAAATAGTTTTAGCACGAAGGCTTTTGTTTGTTTGTTTGTTTGTTTCAAGTCAGGGTTTTTATCTGTGTAACTTTGGAACCAGCTCTTGTAGACCAAGCTGGCCTGAACTCACAGAGATCCGCCTGCCTCTGCCTCCCAAGTGCTGGGATTAAAGGCGTGCGCCACCACCACCCTACCCTAGCGTGTGGATTTTCATGTTGATATTTTTATCTGCTGCGCATTTCTTTCCATTGTTGTCAGATATGCTAAGAAGTACGCTATAGTTTAGAAGCAGCTGTCGGTGATTTTCTAGTTGAAAGAGAGAACATTGGTGTTATAATACTGAAACCTAATTCCCAATTTTGGTATGAGGAAGTGGGCCTTGGGGAGGTCAACAGGCCATGGGATCGGTGAAGCCTTCATGAATGGGATCAGTGACTTTAAAAGAGACTCTAAAGAACAATGTCTTTACCCTCTTTCCATCATCCTGAGAGAAGTTGGCAGGGGATTCATGTGCTGTGATTCCTTGCAGCCTAAGCACTGAGTTTGCAGCTTATTTTCAGTTACATACAATATGATAAAGTATTAGCCAAAGAGAAGTGAGTCAGGAAGTGAGATATACAATTTCCAAGTGATTTTATTAAAAGAGAAGTTCCCTCCAGCAGGCTGAACTGAGGATACAAGGATGAGCCACCCTGGGCCAGGAAGGTAAGGTGCTACAATTGGACTAGAAGAACAAAAGGATACAGAAGGATCCTGGGTCCTAGAAGAGGAACTTAACAATTTTGCATCTGGATCTGAGACACACAAAGAGGCCTTCTCCTGTAGAGACATTAGGGTTGAGTCACCTCGTGTTTCTTCCAGTACTTGTGTTCTTTCGTTGTGTTTACATTTTTATCTCTGATTTATCTAGCGCTTATACTCTTGGGTCTCTCTCTCTCTCTCTCTCTCTCTCTCTCTCTCTCTCTCTCTCTCTCTCTCTCTCTCTCTCTTTCTCTGCCATTTAGGATTGAGTCCAGGTTTGCTTTTCTTTTCTTTGTTTGTTTGTTTGTTTGTTTTTCCAGACAGGGTTTCTCTGTGACTTTGGAGGCTGTTCTTATAGACCAGGCTGGTCTCAAACTCACAGAGATCTGTCTGCCTCTGCCTCCCAAGTGCTGGAATTAAAGGTGTGCGCCACCACCGCCCGGTCTCAGGTTTGCTCTTCTTAAGTACCATCTTAGGAATGTGTCTAATTTTACCACTGTCCAAATGCCACCTAGTTATCTTGGCACTATTTATTATAAAGTTTCTATTTGCCTCAGGGATTTGAAACTCCACCATCATCACATGTGGAACATCCACGTTTAGTCAGCTCTCCTGTTTGAGACTTTAGCTAAGGTTGTATGGGATCCAGATCTACCTGTCTGGTTGCGTGCATTAGCGCCATGCAGTTTTAATCACAGAGGTCTTACAGTATAGTTTAAAAGTTAATGTTAGCTAGGCCCTTCTTTTAGTTCTTTATTATGTTCTCCAGGATATTTTTGTATATTTATTTTTCCCCACAAACTTAATTTCACATCAACTTTTTTAGTTCCTGAAAAAAAAGGTACTTTTTTTGGATTTGGGGAGTGCAGTAAAATGACTTAGATGGGGAACTGATAATTATTCTTGATGATTTTGAGATTTAAAAAAAAGTATGTATTTACACTCCAGTCTTCTTCGAGTTCTTCAGGAATTTTTACACATAAATTTTTTTTTTTTTTTTTTTTTTTTTTTTTGGTTTTTCGAGACAGGGTTTCTCTGTGGTTTTGGAAGCTGTCCTGGAACTAGCTCTTGTAGACCAGGCTGGCCTCAAACTCACAGAGGTCCGCCTGCCTCTGCCTCCCAAGTGCTGGGATTAAAGGCGTGCACCACCAACACCCGGCCTACACATAAAATTTTTTATTACATTTTGTGTGTGCTCATACACTCAGGTTTTTAAGTGGAAGCCAGAGGACAAATTGTGAGATCCCATTCTCTCTTTCCATCTAACTTAAAGTTGTCAGGTTTGGTATGCTTCCTGAGCCCTCTTGCTAGGACTGTTTTATATTTTTCTTTGTATAAAGCTGAGCTTGTTTTGTTTTGTTTTGTTTTTGTTTTTGTTTTCCTGGCTGGGTTGCCCTACGCAGCCTATGTAGCCTACAGGTGGCCTGTAACTCTCAATGAATTCTAAGATTATTGGTGTGTGCCACCACACTCAACTTTAGCCTGGATTTGTGTGTGCCTTTGTTTTGTACCCTGGAACGTCACTGAGATATTTAGTAAATTTATAATTGATTATATTTGGGCAGTACTGTCTGATAGAAATGTAGCATAGCCTTGCATGTGTTTTAAAATTTTCTATTAGCTAAATTAATCATATATCAAGGAAGTCAATGTTAGTGTAGGCTGGGTTCCTTCATATGAAATACAGGATACGGGCATCAGGTTTTGGTTTGCCATGTGTTTATGCACATGGGAACATCAGACCCATGTCATATGTCAGTGTGCAAAAGTATGAGATTTTTAGAGCTCATCAGATTTTGGATCTGAACTGACTAGAAATATTTCTCGCTCCCAAAGGGATTTGACTTGACATGTCAACCATAATAGTACTTAGTTATATAATCAATACAAAATTATTAATAAGACACCATGTTCTTTAATGCAAAGTATTCAAATCCTAATGTATTTGTACATTTACAGCACTTGCAGTTTCAACCCTTATCAGAAGTATTTTATGTGACTTTAGACTTTATAGTATTTAAAGTGGTATATTCACATGTCCCGAGTGCTCCTACCAAAAACT